TAATCGGGGTCCTTACCCTTACAACCAACACAAGTGTAATGCGGTTCCGTTCACTCACACACAGACAGAGGCCACCCCCGCTGGAATGCAGCCTGGGCTGACTGGTTGTGGGCCCACCGGGCACAGGAGAAACAGAGGTGGCGGTTCAGATCATATCCACTATGTACCACAATTTCCCAGAGCAGAGAACTCTGATTGTTACTCATTCCAATCAGGCCCTGAACCAGTTGTTTGAGAAAATCGTGGCTTTAGACATTGACGAGCGCCACCTCCTGCGTCTGGGTCATGGAGAAGAAGAGCTGGAGACAGAGAAAGATTTCAGCAGGTATGGAAGGGTTAATTATGTCCTGGCTCGAAGAATAGAACTTTTAGAAGAAGTTAAACGATTGCAAAAAAGCCTAGGGGTTCCAGGGGATGCTTCATATACTTGTGAAACAGCAGGCTATTTCTTCTTATATCAGGTAATGTCTTGCTGGGAAGAATATATTAGCAAAGTGAAAAATAAAGGTGACACATCGCCAGATGTCGCGGAAGCCTCCACTTTCTTCCCTTTTCATGAATACTTTGCAAATGCTCCTCAACCCATTTTTAAAGGTCGGTCTTATGAAGAAGACATGGAAATTGCTGAAGGATGTTTCAGGCATATTAAGAAAATCTTTACTCAGCTTGAGGAATTCAGGGCCTCTAAACTGCTTTGAAGTGGACTGGACTAAATACCTTTAGGTCTAATTACCTAGATCTAAATACCTTTTGATGAAAGAAGCCAAAATCATTGCCATGACCTGTACTCATGCGGCCTTAAAACGACATGATTTAGTCAAGTTAGGTTTCAAGTATGACAACATTTTAATGGAGGAGGCTGCTCAGATCCTGGAGATAGAAACGTTTATACCTCTTCTTCTACAGAATCCTCAGGATGGTTCTAGCCGACTGAAACGATGGATTAAGATTGGTGATCATCACCAGTTACCTCCGGTCATTAAGAACATGGCCTTGCAGAAGTATGCCAACATGGAGCAGTCTCTCTTCACTCGCTTCGTCCGGATTGGAGTTCCTACTGTGGACCTCGATGCCCAAGGGAGAGCCAGGGCAAGCTTGTGCAACCTGTACAACTGGCAATACAAGAAACTAGGCAACTTGCCCCATGTGCAGCTCTTGCCGGAGTTTAGCACAGCAAATGCTGGCTTGCTGTATGACTTCCAGCTCATCAATGTTGAAGGTTTTCAGGGAGTGGGAGAGTCTGAGCCTAATCCTTACTTTTACCAGAATCTTGGAGAGGCAGAATATGTAGTGGCACTCTTTATGTACATGTGTTTACTTGGCTACCCTGCTGACAAGATCAGTATTCTAACAACTTATAATGGGCAAAAGCATCTTATTCGTGACATTATCAATAGACGATGTGGGAGCAATCCATTGATTGGAAGACCAAATAAGGTGACAACTGTTGGCAGATTTCAAGGTCAACAGAATGATTATATTCTTCTTTCTCTAGTACGAACCTGGGCAGTGGGCCGTCTGGGGGATGTTCGTCGCTTAGTGGTGGCCATGTCTCGAGCCAGACTTGGACTTTATATCTTCGCCAGAGCATCCCTCTTCCAAAACTGTTTCGAACTCCAGCTTTCAGCCAGCTCACGGCCCGCCCACTTCATTTGCATATAATTCCAACGGAACCTTTCCCAACCTGTAGAAAGAATGGAGAGGGGCCATCCCATGAAGTACAGGTAATACAGAATATGCCCCAAATGACAAACTTTGTGTACAACATGTGCATGCACCTGATACAGGCCACCCATCGCTATCAATCAGACTTTATTGCAGTTACCACCTGCTATGGTAGAAGAAAGTGAGGAAGTTCAAAGCCAGGAAGCAGAAATGGAAACAGAAGGAGAGGGCATGCTCACTCAGCTGACATCCCCTGTCTGACAGATGCCGGCGTCAGTCACGGACTGCTGGCCTCTCGGTGAGATGGAGCCACCCCTGGTGAGATGGAGCCACCCCTGGTCGGGCAGGGACTGGTTCCAGTCCAGGAGCCACCTCCGCTGTCTCCGAAGTCACTGCTGCTGCGGCTGGCCCCGAGGCTGTGCCCACAGAGGCCGGCACCCAGCAAGATGCCACATCTGCCCCAGAGACTAAATAGCCAATGCTAGCCTTTCTTAGGGAGGACATTTCATCTGTAAAGTCAAAGTAAAGTTACTTTTTTTATTTTTGGGGGGGAAGAAAAGAGAGAGAACCTGGCTATGATGATCACCTGAACGCTGTCTCCATGTCATTCCTTCTTCGCCCGACTCCGTCCACACCTTGGGGAACCCCTGGACCTGCTGGGGAGGCTGCACAATCCCTTCAGCTTCAGAAGGAGGCAGCACTGCTATTTCCCTGTAATGCACCTTCATGGTCTGGCCTCCCTGCATTTCCCTTCAGCAGCGGTTCTCAACCTGTGGGTCGCAACACCTTTGGGGGTCAAACGACCCTTTCACAAGGGTTGCCTAAGACCATCGGAAAACACATATATAATTACATATTGTTTTTGTGATTAATCACTATGCTTTAATAATGTTCAATTTGTAACAATGAAATTGGGAGTCACCACAACATAAGGAGCTGTATTAAAGGGCCGCGGCATTAAGGAGGCTGAGAACCACTGCTTTAGGGGTTGGGATTTTAGCATCTGATTGAGAAGCTCTAAGTACAATACATACGGCTCAGACTTTTAAGATCCACTGAACCAAGCGTTCCTCTTGGGCCCTTCAGCGAGTCAGCCGGCTCAGCTGAGTGCTCACTGCACTGGGGAGGGAGAGGGGCAGCCAGTGCTGAGGGTGGGAGCCCAAAGGGGGCGGGGGAGGAAGAGGGGCAGGGGCTTCCCACAGCAGGAAGGCCTGATCCCCAGGCGGGGGTAGACCTTGGGGTGACCCATGAACCCCAGGGCAGGCCCACAGTGTGCCTGGTTCTGCTGCTGTGGGAGGCCGCCCGAGGGGTGTATCCTGAGGAACTGGCTCCTGTGGTTGTGGGGCTTCACGTGTGCCACCTGCAGGGCAGAGCCCAGGGCGGGGCTCCGTCCAAAGGCCCTCTGCCGGCCTTAGCCCTCTGTGTCAGAGACCTCTGTCTCCTCCTAACTCCTTCAGCAAGGCCCACCCACAGTATGGGGGCCAGTCTGCCCTCCCCAGTCTATGGATTTCTGGTCAATCTTTTCTGAAAAATCTAGATTGCTGTTTGACCAAATATAGGGGGACATGGCCCAGCCAAGTTGACACACAGAATCCATCGTATCACCACCTGTCACCAGGAAATAGTCAGCCCTGATGGCCTGGGGCTGCGGGTGAGTCCTTCTGGTTGGCTATCCTTAAGGGGTCCTTACCAGAATCTGGAATGTCTGCCCTGGGCCAGGTCCCGGGGGTGTTCTCCTCCAGAAAGGCCTCCCGAGAGAGGGAGAGTGAAGGGTGCGCCCTTCCGCCACCTCCATGGGCCGCCCTGCCCACCCCTCAGCTGTGCCCAGGCCGCTTTGTCCTCTGAGCTCCGAGCTCAATGACTGACCACAGGCCGCAACCCCCGCACCGGCTTCACGTGTGTTTCTTCTGTTTAGCTGGGTGGGAGGGGCGGTCACTCGTGGGCACAGCTGCCTCCCACATAAGCAGTGTGTGGTGGCAGGCAGTTTCACTCACCAGCGTCCACCCAATGCTCCTCTCTGTTTAGAGAGAGACTTCTCTT